GTCGGGGCCTTTTATAGCCGACTATACGTTATGGGTTTTTCTCACTGTTGAAGGCCGTATGGTTGCCTATAATTGCTTACATCTACTTTATTTGAACTTTGGTGGATCGTTGTCTTATTGGCAACCATGATACCTGATCTCCTTATTTTAAATGGCGAGTGCAATAGAAACGCTGAAAATGGCGAATACAATAGATATTGGCTTGATATCCTTCATTTTGAAGCTCTACGTAATTTTTGTTAACCTGTTTGCTTGGCTATTGTCTTAAAATAGGCAATTAAGGAAGCTGCCATTGTTATTACTTAAATAAAAAAGCTCAAATATATTGTAATCTAACAGACATATGTCTCTGTTCATTAGGAATAATTTATTTAGAAATTCAAAAAACTTTTTTTATTCGAGATAAAAAAAAAGTATAACAAAAATACCGAACCCAAGACAAATTCCAAAAGGGGAAGTCCATAAAAACTGACATCAAAAGTTATCAATCAACGGAACGAATGAAAAACAACTGTCATATTCCTGACTTCCGTACAGGCATTTTACGAAAAAAATGGTGAGTTTAACCCGGTTTTATAGCTAGCTGAACAACCCTCGTGTATAACAGTGGTTTATAGTTCCGTTATATTGACAAAATTGGGTGAGCAACCCAAACAGACATAATAGGTAAATGTGACAATAATTGGGATCCAGCAGCCAAAATTGTGTAAACATACATCACAACTGACTAAAAATTTCAAACAAACATACAAACAAATCTAGCAAAGACGCCAATAAAAACGATGTTGTTGTTGATAGTAAATTTAAAAAAACGCCAACAAAAAAGTTTTGTAGTTGATAGTATATTGACAAAGACGCCGATAAAAAGGGATTTAGAGGGGAAAAGATTGACCTTTATACCTAGATTAAACTAGATCTCTTGTAAAAACTACTGATAAACGTATTTTGCTTATCAATTAGTTTATGCTTACGAAGAAATAAAAAAAATATGTAAATATAACCTCTTAGGCAACAGTTGTTGACCGAATCTCATAACACAGACATTGAAAGAGTTTCATTATTTTAAAATTTCGTTAGGTGCGATTAGTATATATATAAGGAATGTTGTTCAATGTACATCATATCATTTGTCACTAATACTGTTGATAGTCTATAGTTTTAAGTATTCATTCAATAACTAATATAGACATGTTATTATACTCCCAAATGGGTAGCCTGAATGGGACTCATTAAAGCAACTCTCTGGCCTGTTGCAAGGCAATATTTTTGTCATCATTAAACATACCCTCAGTTTCCAGTGGCAATCCAAATTTATCGCGTTTTATCCCGGTCGACCTACCTTTCTGAACCTACCTATTAATGGTTGATCATCGTCGAGAATATGCCTGAAATAATTGATATAGGACATACAGGAAGAAAAAAATCAATCAATCAATCACAGAGAACATTTGTATGTACTAAATTTGATGCATGGCACATATTTGTTGTAAATTTTGCAGCTATGATTAATTGATGAATTTCATTTGTTTCATGACTTAAGTCACTGCTGACAAAATTGTTTTGTTTATTCCTCTCTTATGCAAAACAAAATAAAATAATACCAATAGCTACTTGCCACAATGATTTAACATTTAATCTGAAGTATATTGTATGTGGATACATCTGCAAAGTAAATACTTTATTCATCACATATGTTTGTTTGTATTTTTGCAATAGGTATTTGTGAACCTGTAGGAGATGCCAGATGTGCGTGGCAAAAGTTTGCATGTAACTGTTTGGAACATTGTAGTGGAGTAGACGGTTATCCATAAGCTGGATATTAAAGAGTTAATAAAAACATAACATATGGAGTTTTATGATGAAAGGACAATTATTGTTACATAACATAAGTAGAATTTAAAAAAATCGTTTGACTTATCTAAATATAAAAAATGAACAAATCTATTTTACTGATTATAAGCTATTCAGATCCACAAAAAGTGCCATTATGGTAAACGAAAACAAATATAATGTAACAGGACTCGCCAAACAGAACAACAGACCACACCAACATCCAACAACAAATACACAACAACTAACATCACAGTGCAAATGACCACACCAATATCCAACAACAAATACACAACAACGAACATCGCAGTACAACAGAACACACCAACATCCAACAACAAATACACAACAACGAACATCACATGAGTGTATACTTCTATGAGGACTACAATTCATAAGGGTGGTATTAATTTATTTTTTCTTGTTTTGTTTTGTCATGATCATTGTTCGTCTATTCTTTGTAATTTCCTTTGAATCTACCGTATCTTTACTTAAATATAAATAAGAAGATGTGGTATGAGTGCCAATGAGACAACTCTCCATCCAAGTCACAATTTTTAAAAAGTTAACAATTATAGGCCAAAGTAAAGCCTTCAACATTATAAATCCTGGATAGAAAAAAAGGAATTACATTTTAACAAATTATATATGTTGAAAAAAGGATTGGATACAGAAAGATGGGTAGCAATGACAATCACAACTCAAAGAACTACCATGCAAAAAAAACGATAAAAGATTTTGTTCCTGTTACGTTGAAACGACAAAACACGTTGTTAAAAAAATAATTGATGATTAATCTTGTGTAATGTTCTATAAAATAAATTTGTATTCAAGATTCTCTTCCGCTATTTAGGTATTCAAACTGCATTCTAAATGCTAAATTGGAATATGATTTTTTTAATAAAAACCTATCCATATATATACTAAATGACTTTTTCAAATCTATATAAAAAAACCAGAAAATGAGCATTTTCAAACATATTTAAAATGAGAAAAACAAACACAAAACAATATAGCATTAAACCTGTTTAGAGCGAAACCTGCATGGAGCAGAAAATGTGTGCGAGCAAAATGTATCCCGTGTCAACTTAGCAACTAAATGACCCAACAAAAGTTTGATTCAAGATGAGTTTGGATTGTATAGGTGTACTTGCAATACGGAGACTATAATATAATGGATATATTAAAGCTGCGTACGTACTAGTTACATCTAATAAAAAAACAAATTAAATGATTATATGAATATGTGCCCTCACGTGGAAACTGCGGTGCAAAGAAGAAGAGAACCTGTTTAGATCATCCAACTGTTACTCTCAATGAATATACAATATATGTTCACTAGGATAAAATTACTTGATAGTACGATTTGCATTTTGTTTTAAACAAGCGGGCATTTTTTAGCGGTGGACCTGCACAATCAACTTAACAATACACATAAACTGTTCATATAAGTTTCTATTTAACCTAACGTGAGATTTTTACGGTACACATCTCAAATAAATAGACTGATCCAAGGTACATTTTTTGTATTCATATTTCCCTAAGTGCTTCACCCCATTTCCTAACTTAACATTTACCAAATTCACATCGGCTTTTGCCACTAGGCAGTACGAGGGATGTCTCATTGAAGCAAATGGGGTGATGATGATGGATGGCTGCTTAACGTCCAGTGGCAAATTAATATGCATATTCAGGACGAGAACATGTTAATATAAATATGAATATTTACCCTGCTTCGTACTAGATCGACACGCTGAGTCGGATTTGTAACGTACTAGTTCACAAAGTAACAGTCCACAGGAAGACATGTCACCTTAACCCGGACACATCATTTTGACTCCGAACCGACCAGTCTTTTTTCTTACTCCTTAATGTCGCGTGCTTAGCGGAGAAGCAACAAATACAAATTTTAAAGTCTTTGGTTTGACCCAGCCAGGGTTCGAACCCACGACCTCCCGCACTCGAAGCCAACACGCTACCACGAGACCACCGAGGTGGTATGAAGTAAATGTGATTACATGGAATGATTTTCCTTCTCTTGATGATGATATATCAAACCAGGATTCGTATTGCCTTTAGCTTTTGTTTCAAGTATTCTCTGTTATGCTTCTTTCATGGTAATACAAGGGGTTTGATATATTTTTTAAATTATATTGTTGGTGTAATGTGATCTGAGATTGTATTGTTTATCTTCCTAATATTGGTTTCGTATAACTGCATGACCTGTAGTCTACATAATTAATATTAGTAGATCATAATAATATTCAAATAGAAACACCTATTTATTTTATTTTTATTGCTCTATTCGTTTCTGGCCCGTATATAATTCGTTACTTTTGAGACCGTATTGTTGTATAACTTAGTCACGAATAAATTGTTTCAGATAGTACATTTTACTATCTGATCTTATTGTAAATATCGTGAGTGTTCGGAAATAATTAAATCCATCATAGTTTGATGATAATTTTCTATAAACCTTAACATAACACTGTTTAAAACTTTCAAGTTTTTGGCTTATGATTAGGTGGTGACCTTTTTTTAAAGTAAAAATGTGTATTATCGCAATTTTTTTGGATACATCTAGCAATTGTGAAATATGTTCATGTTGCTTATTGTATATTTCAATATACAATGTACATGTAACTAAAAGAATTATTGTCTTGTGGGGCTTCTATCAAATCCCATCTTCTTCAATTAAATTTCAGGACTTTTTCATTATATATGCATCCCACTTTCGACACATGACCAATTTTAATTTGATTCTCCAATATAAAACGTGTACGCAAATTTGATATGAATAAAAGGCAATGTTGGGTATAATCAATGCGAAATGTCAGCAAGAATGTAGTCAACAGACAGTCTTCAAGAATAAACAGGTGTCTACACAATTTGGTTAGCTCTGAATCATATTTCAAAATTGGCAAGCTCTGAAGCATCTTTTAGTGTCAAAAACAAAAGTTCAAGATCAGGATCGGAACTATCAAAGATCTGCCAAAAGCCCATTGATGCCAAAGACTCCAAATAACAAAATAATAGATATGATATATTATATGTATATACTATAGACAACCTCTGACGAGGAATATGACGTTGTATATGCATACCTGCATGATTTTGTTTGTTATAAGTTGAGATTTTGTAAAAAGGCTTCAAAAAACAATTTTCATAGAAGCTTTTAAGAATTGGTTTATTTTGGTAAATAAAAGTACATTCAAATGTATCAATAAAAAAATGAGAAATTCACAAATTAAATAACAACAAAAACTTATAAAGATAATAAAACTGATTTTTAAAAAGGCCATTTTACCAGTGAACGGAAAAAATTTCAGCAACAGAAGAAAAATGCTAATATATATTACTATTCTGTGTACAGAAACTCGACAATTAGTAAGGTGCCCAGTGTTAGAAAAGGCCTCAAGTTAACGAGTTTAAGTTAACGAAATAACACACGGCTAAATGATTTTGCAAATCATAGGAAAATCATTATATCTTACAATCATGATTGTCGTCATAACTTGTCGTGGTCACGATTTTCTAAATTTCGTGTTTTACAGGGTACCCCCAGATACTATATTGTACGAGGAATCTTGAACATTTTTGCATTGATCCAACACGGATTATCTCGTGTCGTTAATCATTTTGTTACTTAAACTATCAAAAGACGGGCAAAAACAAAATTTTTGTAGGGCAACTTAAAAATGTTGATATCTAAAAACATCTCTAGAGTTCATTTGAATCGAATCTTTAAAATTTCAAATTTTGAAGTTGAAATGGGCCAAGGTCACTGTTATTTAACAGCTGAAGGAAAATGGTAAATGTTCACCCCATACGTACAAACGTCAATCTCGAATCATATTTGGCATCTTAAATATCAAATTAGTTCTAAATATAGAAACAATAGTAATAATCCTTTAATTAATTGAAATTATTTCACTCTTAACGCATATAAGTAGGGGTGGCAAGCTGTCTAAATGTGACTCTGCGTTTTCCCTGAAATTTTAGCTTTGACCTTTGACCTAAATTTAAGAAAAGACCGGACCACTGTAGATAACAACGACATCAATATTTCGATGCAGCTTGTTCTCCTCTTTCCAATGATATAAAATACAACCGTATGTATTCAGTTAACCTAAAACTTTCGAATTCGTTGACTGGGCACACTACTAAATTATATCCATTAGTTTTTGAATAAAGTAATACAATTTACTTCAGGTCATAAACATACCTTACAATTTTTAGATTACCATTAAAAATACCACATCCATTTAAAATGGCTAAAGATAATCTAGTCTAAACATACTTTATTTGGTAAATTTAATCAAAATGGATAAGGCACAAAAAAAACCCAAAAAATGCAGACTACAATATAAAAATATATATACATGTATAACAATATGAGCATGCATGTATACGGAAGCCCATTTAGGACCTCCAAAAATATATATTTGAATTCGATATCACGAATTAAAATTGTTTTCATGAATTGTAGAATTCGTTATCACAGTTTAAATTCGTGATAACGGATTAAAAACGTGATAACGAATTGTATATTTCGTAATCAAGGATTAAATTCTATCTCACGAATGCGTAAAATTTGTTATCACAGGCTTTTTGGTGATTCACGATTACTGATTAAATTCTTTATCACAGATTTTTGTAATTCGTGATAACGGTTTAAAATCGTTATAACAAATTGTATAATTCGTAATAACGAATTAAATTCGTGATAACTATTTCTGCGAATTCGTGATAACGAATTTAATCCGTTATCACGAATAACATAAAAATTGTGATAACTATTTCTACAAATTCATGATAACGAATTCAATCCGTTATAACGATTTATACAATTCGTTATCACGATACATAGAATTCGCTATTACGATTTTTAACCCGTTATCACGAATTACAAAAAAATGTGATAACGAATTAAATTCGTAATTATGAATTACAAAAACTGTTATAACTAATTCCGCAAATTCGTTATCGCGAATTTAATCTGTTATAACGAATTATTCAATTCGTGATAACGATTTGAATTCGTGATTTCGAATTCAAATATATATTTTTGGGAAGTCCTAAATGGGCGTCCGTATTACATGTAAGTACAATTCATTGGATATGATACAAACTATAAATAAGAAAAAAGGAAAGAAAAAAAGATTGACTATTTTGAGCTGAAGACGTAGGTTTTGATTATAATGACGACTATAACGAATAACAATAACACTTTATGGAGGCGAATCGAGATCTGTTTGACATTTATATTATAAACAAATATTCAAGAAGAAAACTACGTCATTTAATGGCAGTGATGGTTCTTCTTAATTTAAATCTTGCCGGTTAAAAACACACAAATTCAGATCTTAGAATTGAAACCTTGAGCATTTATTAAATAAAATGGGTGTATAAAGTCAGAGAAAAGATACCGTTTTTAAACATAAACAAAATCCAAAAATTAACAATATTTTTACACCGGAAAATTACATGGTTATAAGGAAACAAGATACCGGATTTTTTATTACCAAAATAAAACGGACATTATCAGGAAACTTTTCTAACAATAGATAAAATCTAATAAGCATGTTTATATAGGTATTTTGAGAATAAGTTGGTACATACGTTTTGAAACTAAAATGCAGTTAACAATAGTAAAAAGTGAAAAGTCAATAATTCTGTAAAGTTTTATTTTAATGTCCATGCTCAATCTGTTTGAGTGAGATGACCGATGGGGGCTGTCGGAGACCAATTGGCGGCAAAAATTCTAAAAACTGACTAGTTCTTTCAAAAAGTCTATATAAATGTAAACATAATGTAAACCTTCTATGACAAGTAAAGACGCAAAAAGGTATACCTATCCGTTGACATAGGATTATTTTCTTATTAGTCTGGAAATAATGTATGATTAAAAGCTACATGTTTTGAAAGTTTACAATAAATCCAAATCTAAACCTGTAAACATATTCCTTATTTCTACTTCCTAAGTATTAACAAAATTTGGAAAAGCTGTTCATTCAAAAATCTCCTTGGCTTTAATTCAAGTATAATCCCAAATTACAAATTCTGGTATTTTCAGACCATTATAAAATATATGTGGGTCATTATCAAAAAAACATGCAAATTTCGATGAAGTAATATTTGGAAAAACGATGTCATTGTTTAAAACATTTAAATGTGTCCCTCTATTCTATAGTATGGTAGCAACTATTTTCAGAAATATGCAATGGGAAAAATGAAGGGTTCCTTCAATTTTAACAATTTTAGGTCATCCTTTGATAGAATCGTGTCAATGGTGTTACCAATTTAAAACATGCATTTAGGTACTAAATATTATTGTTAAACATCAAACAACTGTTCCAATTTGTTGTTAAGGTTTAAATTACTACTTATTGACATTATTCCTCTAGCTATACATTCTTTTTTAAACATAAATTTCAGAATACATTGTCGTAAAAAAGTTGGCTGTTCTAATTGTGGCTGTTGTAAATACTAAAAAATACACTTAAATTGAATATATGTATAATGTATAAGATGAAATGATAAGAATATGCTTAATCCTTCGTATACAACCTAAAAACGCTTTCATTTATGAATAAAAATTAAAAAGTATCGCATTTTTATATAGTTACACCACGGACTCTTCAGTAACTCCAATGACACAAAAGTATCACCATTGACAACACATTTCAAATTTTACTTTTATTAAATACTGAACACAAAACAGAGAACACTGAGCAAAAGAAAAAGAGGAAAAATAATTCTTAGGCTTAAAAATCTCAAATTATATAACATAATATCAATAACTAAAAATGTCAGTAGTGTTACTAAATAGTGTCATTGGTGTTACCAGCATACACCAGTTTTTGAAAACTTTGTATATGTAATACATGATATTGTTAAAACATTGTTAAATAAGTATTGTTTGTTATAAATAATATGATGTTTCGCTTGTTAAACATGAAAGAAACACCAAAAAATGCTGATTGTCATAATATATTCAGTGGTGTTACTAAGCTGGTCAATGGTGTTATTTTATTAAAATGGTCTCACCATTGACAGTAACACCATTGATTTTCAGGTGTATTTTAAGGTTTAGTTACAAAATAAGGGCTCCATTCCCCTATTTTATATGGTGTTCCTGGTGCATGTTTCTACAATCAATATATTTCATAATTCAAAGTTCAGGAATTTAAAAAAAAAAAAGATTTTTATAAGGGTACACCATGGACACTATTTTCAATTACGATATAGCTTGTACTTACTTTTAATATTTTTTTACTAAATTTTCAACATAAATGTTTGTTTTCTTTTGCATAACATGCTTACAGGTAACATTGCTAAGGAAGAAACTATTGTAAATGCTGAAATATTGAGAAAGATAACTCTTACCCTACCAATTTGTCTTTTGGTTACACCATTGACTTAAAAAATGAGACTTTTCCTTTTGGTTAAATTTTTTATTATAAAACCAACATACACCTTCCAAATCATTAAAAAAATGTTTGTATGTATCAAATGCAATAAAAAGTGATAATTTCTAATAACAAATGATATGAATAATAGCCCTATTTCAGGTCTGAAATAACAGTTGATTCTGGCTATATCAAAGGGTTTGAGAAAAAATTAAGAATGTTTTTATAACATTTCATACTGTAAACTGTGTAAAGTGTATCACAAAACATTCATATCTTTCATATGCAATAGTTATTTTGATACATTTTGATATAGTTTCATGTCTTTTGACTTGAAAAGACCAAATAACATAGTTTTGCATGTTTTTTTGATAATGACCCATATATATATATATAATGATATATTGAATATACACTGTCAAAAAATTAATAATAATATTCTGATCTAATTTTTTTTTCCAATTCTATTGCAGAAATGTTTACAAGCTATTTATTTGCACCTGTCCTAAGTCAGGAACCTGATGTTCAGTGGTTGTCGTTTGTCGATGTGGTTCATAAGTGTTTCTCGTTTCTCGTTTTTTTATATAGATTAGACCGTTGGTTTTCCTGTTTGAATGGTTTTACACTAGTCATTTTTGGGGCCCTTTATAGCTTACTGTTCGGTGTGAGCCAAGGCTCCATGTTGAAGGCCGTACTTTGACCTATAATGGTTAACTTTTACAAATTGTGACTTGGATGGAGAGTTGTCTCATTGGCACTCATACCACATCTTTTTATATCTATATAGGAAATTTAGATGTAAAACGACAGAAGCACTATTTTAAATGTTCACAAAAGCACACAAACTAATTACATGAACCATTCTCGAGATACTAAAATAGTTGATGACCTATGTCATTGATATGGAAATAACCTTGTCATTACGAAATAGGAGACATATGGCTGATTGATTGATTGATTGATTGATTGATTGATTGATTGATTGATTGATACAAGGTTAGAAATAGAAGGAAAATCAAATATGATTGTAAATACTCCAAATAAATAAAATCTGTAAAGGTTTTTCACCCATCATCTCCTTTTATTCATTTTTGAATAGTTTTTTTTTTCTTATTTCAAGGATAAATTTGAACATGACTTCAGGAGACTACTCATTTCTTATTTTTAGAACTTTTTTGTGACATGTTGAATCTATAAAAAAAAGACTGTCATTTGAACATTCAGAGCATGAACTACAGAAAGTCTGAAATGGTTCTTGTTCTTCTTTTAACCTGAAATGGTCAGGATTTTTCATATTTTTTGTGAGCTTTTAGGACTTGACCAAAACCTCATGTCCTATAAACCAATGAAATTAATTTTACTACTGTAGATTTAAGGACTTCGTCTGACGTAAAATTTGCTCTGATAAGGAATATCGTTCGTTTTTATGGTTTTATGATTCAGTTTGTTAGTCAAATAAATAAAAGATAAGTAATAAAATGCGTTCATCTTGAAAAAAATACATTCTAAAAAATGAATACATAAAAATTATGCCTAACATATATCATACCCATTAAATTTTGATCTTATCTCTTCCAGTTAAAAGTCAATGATGTATAAACAACATCACGTATGCCCTTAGTGTGCGTTTAACGTTTTAAAAAAAGATGAGCAAACCCAATCTTTATAAAGCAGTAACAAAGTAAAAAGACGAATATGTTGATTTTCTTACTCTTTTATGTAGTTCTATTGCATATGCAAAATCAGTAAAATTCCAGTCAAAAATAAGGTACTGAAAATTCATAGCTATTCTACATAATGTAGTGATTTACACACACAATTTTTTAATATAAAGTTGTTGCACATGTATGTCACAAAATAGACATCGTCATGTCTTTAAGGTTTAACTTGAAAACTTTGTGGTCTTCTTACAAACTGGTCATGACGACGAAATAAGTCGATGTTACGTTTCTGTTATACCATTATTTGTTCATGTACAGCTAAATCATCATTATGTGGATCTTGATAAAGAAAATGAAAACAATATGATTTATTGCTCACATTTTGATCAAATCTGAGAGGACAGATTATTTTGTATTTTTACAAATTCAAAACTCAGATTCCAACTTTCTCGAAAAATACAAATTTTACTTTCATGCTTTTGAATTATAAAACTGCCTCATATCTTTTTGCATCTTTGACTTTCAAACTATTTTTTTTTATAACACCTATATAGATCAATCCAGAAAATGGATCAAACTATAGAATCTGGTTCATAAGTTAAATGACAAGCGACTCATTTCACAGAAATTCTTACGAGAAAAACATACATGCAAGTCATGAACATTTCAGTATAGCTAACAATCAGTTTCAGTCGTATGATATTTTGTGAAAAAAGCCCCTGGTTGTACGATAAACATTGGAAAACAATCCTGTGCACAAGTAAAGAACAATTATTTTAGGTCAAAATATTCAACTGTCATTTTGACTTTTATCAGTTGTTGTTTGGTTTATTTTATTCTTTGGAAGTTGTGTTGCACCTTTCAGATTTGGAGGTTTAACCATTGATTGGCTAATTCGTCATTTTCCCTAAAAAGCACTATCCAACATTATTTTGTTTCATCATTGGATAACCAATATAATAGGGAAATATTTTATGTTTGATTTACCATTTGCCTTTAGACATGAAATAGGTATGTGTCCTTTGTTGACACCCGTAAGGTGACATATAAATAATCACTCTCGCGGTTTGGTTCTTTGGTTGATAGTTCTATCATTTGCACTCACCACATCTCCCTATTCTTTTGACACACTTTAGTGTACATTATAATCATCTATTATATCAAAATGGCATTTTAATTTCATGTAACAACATATTAGGGAATGTCATTAAATTATTCTATACTAACTACCCATCATGGTAAAATGTGCGAAAGCGTCTTAGTTTGGACATCAAGAATCGGTAAAGGCACTATAAATGTTAAAGTTAAATTCGTTTTATTGGTTTTCGTTTTCAATTAATTCTTCAATTAAATCTCAGTAAAATGCAATGACTAAGAAAATGCCAATTACCTTCTATCTTGCTCAACATTCTTCTTTGGTCCACCTGACGTTTTCTTCTACAGATCTTCACGAACACTAGCAATGTCAAGAAGCCCAAAACGGTCCCAATTGCTATGATACCAGCAATCATTGTAACCTTTGATGGTCTATTACTTTCAGCAGACTGGTCTGGAAATGAAATTGAATCAAATTGTCGTAAATTGTTGCATTTCTATTGTTATAGAAAAGACTGTAAACATAATGATGTTTTTTTTTATTATTTTTTGTCCATTGTATAATCAAAGACACATTTTTATCATCCTTATTATTTAATTATAAAAAAAACGTTATAATAAATAACTGAAAACTTTGCATCATGTTTGCTAAGTTTGCCGTTTGACTGTTGCATTACTATCTCGACCATTTTCTAAATTTAAAAACATAAAATGTAAAATACATGTATTTAGACCAAATCAAGGGTCCGTGTAACACTTATCAATTCAAAATTTTAAAAAGTTTTCAAATTTTAGATTTTTGGAATGTTAATCAAAGTTTTAGAATATCAAAATTCCAAATTTTTTAAATATTTTAATTTTTAAAATTTTCACCAAATAATTAAAATTTTTAAACTCTAAATATCGTTTTTAAATTTGATAGTTAGATATTTGATCAAACTTTAAAAGTACTAAACTTAACGTGCAGTTTTGATTATTTCGTTTTTTGGAAGTTTGAATTTTTAAATTTTTGATTAAGATATCAAAAATAGATAACGGGCGAAAACAGGGGTACCTGTAAAGTGCGAAACGGAATAAAAGCGGAACAAAACAAAACAAAACGAAATGAACAGTTACTGTTATACAAAAGTTAATGTGTCAAATAAAAACAGAGGCAGACAGTTGTAAGCAGTGAAAAATTGGAAAAGAAAAAAAATATTTCTCAAAAGCGGAGAATTCATTTTAAAACAAGAAACACGGCTCTGATTATGATCATTCTTAGTTAGGAATAAAAAGCACGAAATATATCAAATCATTTTTAATTGCAAAATAAATAATCTAAAGAAGAAGTCTTTTTTTTTTAAAACAAATTGGACATCAATTGCGATAACAGTATCCTGAAATTTATAAGGTTTTGCATCTATTGAAAAAAAAAATATTTAAACCTATTTAAACCGACATCAAACAAGTTGATTTACTTTTTAAAAAAATCTCTAATATAAACTTAGCGTTTCAGATGAATAATTCAGAACCATTTGGTTTCCCCAGCGCCCATCATTTAGGAGTAACAGTGAAAATTGACCAAATCGCAGTAGGCCAAATAGTATGGTAGGGTTAATTGTGTTCATATTTTCTGCTGTACTTTAGGCAATAAAATGGCTCAAAACACGTGTATTTCCTCAAATTTTATTTAATTTTTTTTGTTTTGCTTTACAACTTCTTAACATCTGCAATCATGTAGGTAGATGAAATCATTGAATATACATTTTGACCGATCATCTCAGTTAAAATTTATCAACTATTTCGGTTGTTATAAATTGTTGGCCTTCAAATATTCGGCTTTTGAACGTTCCCGATGAAGGTAGATCCAGAAAAGCGCTTCGGACGCATGCAATTTTTAACGTTTTGTTTTCATTTTTTATCGATTGCATGACGATCATATGTTGCTTTTTATCATTGATTTCAGTTCAAAGTATTGATACAGTAGGAATACTGAATTTATGGTGTCGCAATTAACGTTGTAATTTTCAGCGTGTAATGCGGGTAGCAGTGTAAAAAAGATATCAACCTCCCACATTCGAGGCTAGTGCAACGTTCATTGCGACACCATGAATTCAGTATTCCTACCGTACCAATACTTAGAACTGAAATCAATGACACAAGGCAATATATGATCGTCATGCAATCGATAAAAAATGATAACAAAACGTTAAAAATTGCATGCGTCCGAAGCGCTTTTCTGAATCTACCTTCATCAGGAACGCTCAAAGCCGAATATTTGAAGGCCAACAATTTATAACAACTGAAATAGTTGATAAAAGGTTAAAGATGATCGTTCAAAATGTACATTCAATGATTTCATCTGCCGACATGATTGCAGATAGTAAGAAGTCGTAAAGCAAAAAAAAAAAAAGTGAAATCAAATTTGAGAGAATACACATGTATTGAGCCATTTTATTGCTTAAATTTCAGTAGAAAATATATACATACTCAACCCTACCATACTATTTGGCCTACTGCGAGTTGGTCAGTATTCACTGTTACTTCTAAATGATGGGCGCTGGGGAAACCAAATAGTTCGGAATTATTCATCTGAAACGCTTAGCTTATGTTAGAGATTTTTTTAACCGTAAATCAACTTGTTTAATGCAGGTTTAAATAGGTTTAAAAATTTTTTTTCTCAATTGATGCAAAACCTTAAAAATTTCAGGATACTGTTATCGCAATTGATGTCCCATTTGTTTAAAAAAAAAAAACCGACTTCTTCTCTAAATTATTTATTTTGCAATTAAGAATGATTTGATATATTTCGTGCTTTTTATTCCTAACTAAGAATGATCATAATCAGAGCCGTGTTTCTTGTTTTAAAATGAATTCTCCGCTTTTGAGAAAAAATTATTTTATTATCCAATTTTTCACTGCTTACAACTGTCTGCTTCTGTTTTTATTAACTACATTAACTTTTAAAAAATAGAAACTGTTCATTTCATTTCATTTTCGTTTCGTTTCATTTTGTTTCGTTTCGTTCCGCTTTTATTCCATTTCGCACTTTACAGGTACCCCTGTTTTCGCCCGTTTTCTATTTTTGATATCTTGATCAAAATTCTGAAAAATCAAATTTTAAAAACGCGAAATAATCGAAACTGCCCGTTAAGTTTAGAACTTTTAAAGTTTGATCGAATATCTAAACTATCAAATTTAAAAACGATATTTAGAATTTTAAAATTTTAATTATTTGATGAAAATTTGAAATTTTGATATTTTAAAACTTTGATCAAAATTCCAAAAATCTAAAACTTTTTTTAAATTTTGAATTGATAAGTGTTACACGGACCATCAATGTTTCCTGAAATGATGTTTCATCAAATGTCGTTAGGACGTTTGACTAAGATGTCCAATTTAGTATTAATGGAGTAAATAATAATTACTTACCATTATTGGTAAGTACATGCAGCACATGTACAAAAGTAAGATTCACTTCGCACGTATCAAATCCATAGAATAATTTGTACGTCTTGTTAACATCTGTATCTGTCAGGTTGTGTATGACGAGAGTGTACGCATCTGATCCTATCACCTCGGTGAGTTTATTTTCGAAGTCGCTGTCAACATGTAATCCGTCATACATCAAACTTTGATGTTCAGTATTTAAGTCACTCCTAGTCCAACGACGTCCTATATCATGTGTAACTTCTGATACATTTGCTGTTATGTTTACATCTTCTCCAAACAACGGAGTCGGCTTAATTTCTAAGCTGTAGCATAACGCACCTTTAACGGAAAGAAACATATCCTTATTCAGGACTTTTTTTACTATGGTACATTTTTATTTTTATTCAATAGGCTATTAAAATTTAATATTTAAATCAAGACAAGTAAATATGCAATAAATGTGCAACGACAATACGACAATGGTGAAAATGTGAGTAAAATAAAACATATTCCAAAGATACTGCACTTGTAATCCCATCTGATGCCTGATTCAATATATGCCCGATTCAAAATTTTTACCGGATTAAAACTTTTTTCATTTGATTCAATGTTTCCTGGTTCAGTCTAGATTTCAGAATTGTTTTACTCTAAAATAAAATCTTTAATATAAGCTTAGCGTTTCAGATGAATAATTCAGAACTATTTGGTTTCCCCAGCGCCTATCATTTAGGAGTAACAGTGAAAACTGACCAACTCGCAGTAGGCCAAATAGTATGGTAGGGTTAGTTGTGTTTATATTTTCTGCTGTACTTTAGGCAATAAAATGGCTCAAAACACGTGTATTCCCTCAAATTTTATTTTATTTTTTTTGTTTTGCTTTACAACTTCTTACCATCTGCAATTATGTCGGCAGATGAAATCATTGAACATACATTTTGAACGATCATCTCAGTTAAAATTTATCAACTATTTCGGTTGTTATAAATTGTTGGCCTCAAATATTCGGCTTTTGAACGTTCCCGATGAAGGTAGATCCAGAAAAGCGCTTCGGACGCATGCAATTTTTAACGTTTTGTTTTCATTTTTTATCGATTGCATGACGATCATATGTTGCTTTTTATCATTGATTTCAGTTCAAAGTATTGATACAGTAGGAATACTGAATTTATGGTGTCGCAATTAACGTTGTAATTTTCAGCGTGTAAAGCGGGTAGCAGTGTAAAAAAGATATCAACAACCTCCCACATTCGAGGCTAGTGCAACGTTCATTGCGACACCATGAATTCAGTATTCCTACCGTACCAATACTTAGAACTGAAATCAATGATGCAAGGCAATATATGATCGTCATGCAATCGATAAAAAATGATAACAAAACGTTAAAAATTGCATGCGTCCGAAGCGCTTTTCTGAATCTAACTTCATCAGGAATGCTCAAAGCCGAATATTTGAAGGCCAACAATTTATAACAACCGAAATAGTTGATAAAAGGTTAAAGATGATCGTTCAAAATGTACATTCAATGATTTCATCTGCCGACATGATTGCAGATAATAAGAAGTCGTAAAGCAAAAAAAAAAAAAAAATTGAAATTAAATTTGAGAGAATACACATGTATTTAGCCATTTTATTGCTTAAATTTCAGTAGAAAATATATACATACTCAACCCTACCATACTAATTGGCCTACTGCGAGTTGGTCAGTATTCACTGTTACTTCTAAATGATTGGCGCTGGGGAAACCAAATAGTTTTGAATTATTCATCTGAAACGCTAAGCTTATATTAGAGATTTTTTTAACCGTAAATCAACTTGTTTGAGGCAGGTTTAAATAGGTTTAAATTTATTTTTTTTTCTCAATTGATGCAAAACTTTAAAAATTTCAGGATACTGTTATCGCAATTGATGTCCCATTTGTTTAAAAAAAAAAACCGACTTCTTCTTTAAATTATTTATTTTGCAATTTAGAATGATTTGATATATTTCGTGCTTTTTATTCCTAACTAAGAATGATCATAATCAGAGCCGTGTTTCTTGTTTTAAAATGAATTCTCCGCTTTTGAGAAAAATTTATTTTGCTATCCAATTTTTCACTGCTTACAACTGTCTGCCTCTGTTTTTATTTTATACATTAACTTTTAAATAATAGTTACTGTTCATTTCATTTCATTTTCGTTTCTGTTCGTTTTGTTTCGTTTCGTTCCGCTTTTATTCCATTTCGCACTTTACAGGTACCCCTGTTTTCGCCCGTTTTCTATTTTTGATATCTTGATCAAAATTCTGAAAAATCAAACTTTCAAAAAGCGAAATAATCAAAACTGCCCGTTAAGTTTAGAACTTTTAAAGTTTGATCAAATATCTAAACTATCAAATTTAAAAACGATATTTAGAATTTTATAATTTAATTATTTGATGAAAATTTGGAATTTTTAAATTTAAAACTTTGATCAAAATTCCAAAAATCTAAAACTTGAAAACTTTTTTAAATTTTAAATTGATAAGAGTTACACGACCCATCAAGGTTTCCTGAAATGATGTTTCATCATATGTCGTTAGGACGTTTGACTAAGATGTTCAATTTAGTATTAATGGAGTAAATAATAATTACTTACCATTATTGGTAAGTACATGCAGCACATGTACAAAAGTAAGATTCACTTCGCACGTATCAAATCCATAGAACAATTTATACGTCTTGTTAACATCTGTATCTGTCAGGTTGTGTATGACGAGAGTGTACGCATCTGATCCTATCACCTCGGTGAGTTTATTTTCGAAGTCGCTGTCAACATGTAACCCGTCATACATCAAACTTTGATGTTCAGTATTTTTAAAGTCACTCCTAGTCCAACGACGTCCTATATCATGTGTAACTTCTGATACATTTGCTGTTATGTTTACATCTTCTCCAAACAACGGAGTCGGCTTAATTTCTAAGCTGTAGCATAACGCACCTTCAACGGAAAGAAACATATCCTTATTCAGGACTTTTTTTACTATGGTACATTCTTATTTTTATTCAATGGGCTATTAAAATTTAATATTTAAATCAAGAAAAGTAAATATGCAATAAATGTGCAACGACAATAGGACAATGGTGAAAATGTGAGTAAAATAAAACTTATTCCAAAGATACTGCACTTGTAATCCCATCTGATGCCTGATTCAATATATGCGCGATTCATTTTTTACCAGATTAAAACTTTTTCATTTGATTCAATGTTTCCTGGTTCACTCTAGATTTCAGAATTGTTTTACTCTAAATTCAGTGTTCCCGGTTAAGACCTCTCTCTCTCTCTCTCTCTCTCTCTCTCTCTCTCTCTCTCTCTCTCCACACACATCTCCACCAAAATATTGGGTTAAACAAATTGGTGGTGTCTCAGGTTTCTTAAAGTTTTGTGTGATATTGAATAAAAAGGATAATCTCCATGTCAAAAGTTCACCCTCAAACCCAGTTGGAGTATTTTTAGTCAAGAAAACATCAGTAATTGTGAAAATAATTGGGTATCTTATACACAATTTTACACTCTCAATTATACTTGAAGATACAAGAAAAACTTACCACAGTCCATCTTTCGGATTGAAACAACCAACAGCAAAATATTGACGACAGCATGATTCCTGTCAACAAAAAAATATAAGCGTATACAGTAGTTAACTTCTCTATTGTGACTGTCACACTCAGAAATCGTGTGAACAAATGAAATCCAACAACCTTTATGGCGTGAAATAAAGGTAAAAAGATTAGCTCTGTTTATGTCAATTGAGCTTGAATGTCACAAAGTTAAACGTTTATTTGCTTCAAAAAAATTAAGTTATATTTACTTTTCAACTTCTAAGATTGTCCTCTCTCTCGATCTACAAGTCGATTGTGGTGTATGTGGGGTTTTTTTTGTGCTATTTTCGGTTTGTTGCTTCTCCGCTTTCAATGATAATGGATTTAACTAGTTTCGACCCACTGATGCATTTTATTATCAAACTGATTTTGGTAATTTGCTAATTGTAAACGAAGGAACTCTGTAAGCCAGTTTTAGATGATTTAGTTATTCGGCTTATTCCATTTTATTAGATCACCTGGCCCAAAGTGCCAGTGTAAGTTTTTCCCATCACTTGGCGTCTGTCGTCGTGGTCAGTCGTCCGTTTTATTTGTTAACTTTTATAAGAATCATCTCTTCTGAAACTACTGGGCCAAAAACCAAACTTGGCCACAATCATCATTGGGATATCTTGTTTTTAAAAATGTGTCCAATGACCCCGCCTGCCAACTAACATGGCCAACATGGCTAAAATAGAACATAGGAGTAAAATGCAACTTTTGTATATTATCTTGAAAACCACTATAGATATAGAAAGTTTGAGAGGGCAAAACAGTTCAGAATGATGAGATCTATCTTCTTTCAATTTACCTCATAACTGCCTAACTTGTAGGAGTCATTGCCCTTAAATGACGGATTTTACCAATTATGTTTTTTATCATTTTTGCCTATCATTTCAAAAATTATAATAGATAGATATAAACTTCATTTGCAAAAATGAATACCAAGACAAGATCTACAAAATAGTCAACATGGCAGAAATCCTTAGTCGGCTCTTTATTGGAGTAATTGCCCTTTAATGACGATATTAATTTTCTATTTTTTTTTGCGCTTTTGCCTATTATCTTGAAAACTATGAAAGATATATAGAAACTTTAAATGTAAAAATGATCAGTAAGACAAGATCTACAAGTAAGTCAATATTGCAGAAATCGTCAGTTGGCTCCTTAAAGGAGTTATCGCCCTTGAATGACGATTTTTACCAGTTTTTGCGTTTTTGCCTATTATTTTGAAACTATAATAGATAGAGAGAATTTTAGAGAGCAAAGGTGATCCACAAGGCAAGATCAACAAATAAGCTGATAAAGCTAAAATCGTTGGTCTACTCTTTATATGCGTAAGTTCCCTTATATCACAATGTTTACCAATTCTTTGAGTTTTTGTCTATTATTTTGAAAATTAAACTATAATAGATAGATAGAAATTTTAACAACCAAAAATGATCATCAAGACAAGATCTGTAAATCGGTCAGTTGTCTTCTAATGTTGTTATTGCCCTTAAATGACGATATATTTTTTTACTCATTTTGGTGTTTTGGCCAAAAACTATCGATAAGATTAAGACTGTAAACAGAGAAAATTAAAATGTCAATTGTTCACGAACAATAGCAATTGTTCGTGAACAATTGAGAGGTCTTTCCTTTTCGAAATGGAAAACATATGTATAAATAGATGTAAAATGCATTGAAAAGCATTAAACACACATAAAACCCTTTAAATAAGGTCAAAAACACATAATTTGCTATCTGGGACATGACCTTGACCTTTGCCTTGTGACCTTTGTCAAGGTCATTGGTGCCCAATATCATTGCTAAAAACCCCATGGGTCTAGGACCTTTGGTTTAAAAGTAAAACCTAATTTTGTCTTTTCAGAAACCGTTAACGGGGGGGGGGGGGGGGGGGGGGCGGGTATGCCCCTTACGGCAAGGTCAAATCTCTTCGGTCAAAATGTAACAAAGTTGCGCCTTAATGACCCAAACATTTTCCACTATTCAAGACTTCTGTAAGTATAATGGTTTCTGAGATTATCCCACAACAAGGTGTAAGGTAAAAGGTCAAGGTCAACGTCCAAATTTGACCTTAGGACATTTTCAAGGTCGCATGAATTGATGATCATTAGTGAAAATCCTAGGTGGCTACGACTTACGGTTTCTGAGTTTTAGTGGCCAACCGACATCGGTTAATTTTTAAAGGGGCATAACTCAACCAATGAGTCATTGAATCTTTTCGATCCAAATGTAAAAAGAACCAGGCTCTGGTCCTGAACAAATAGCGTTCGTTTTTTTTCTACCTCTTACGGTTACGGTGTTCATCCCATAACAAGGTTTATAGGTTTCGGGCAGATAACTCCGGACCGACAAAATTTAACGACTCACAGGGTGAGTTCCGGATAGGTGTTTATGACACCGATACAAAGTGTGAACCCGAAAGCGACATGTCTTACGGTTAAGGCTGGTAACTTCGTCAAAGTTTGGCGGAAAAAGAATAATAATAATCAGAAGAAATACAGTAAGGTATTTCCCTTTTGGAAAAGGAAAGACCTTAATCATAAGCAATATAAGTTCAACAAAAAAGAAATTTTAAAGTCACGAATAACATTTTGTCCTACAATGTTCGCGCACTAAAGTCGGTTTCGTACGTTAACATGGTTAATACAACTGGCGAGAAAAATATATTTTAAGAAATTAGCATAATCACATTGTGCATACGATTTATTTTGTATATTTGGCCTCATACATGATTTGAACGTACCTGTTTAAACATGCGTTGTGCGCCCTGCAATTTATATTACGTCTATATTATAACTGCATACTGCGCCATCGGATGAATTTTAAAATATGTTTATCAAAAAAAATATCTTACTTTGCTTTCGGGTGTCAGGTACTTAGCTCAGTGGAAGTTTTAGCTCCTTGTCATGTCGACAACATAAACATGCCACCAACAGCAGAAACAAGATGGGTAAGCCGATTAAAAGCAATCTTGAATTAACGGTGCAAAAATGCAATCAATGTATGTCATAAATGATAAACAATAATATTTAATCCCTTGTGCTATAATCTAACTTCCTTGTTTTGATACACGTAATTGTGTTTGTAAACAGTGATACGCTTGGCTGCATTTTTATCAATATTGAAATATTACATTCGAAAAATGCAATGTTAGCACTTAACTATTTTTGTTAAGCATTTTTTGGGCGTATGAAAAAAAATAAATTTTTAGTATGGATTGTAAATTGAGGGGTTGTATCAGAGTTGATAAATTCACTCGAAACTAGGTGAGACATGCGCCGTAGTGATAAAATTGAAAATTGAATATTTTAAGCAACAACAAAAAAAAAGTCCGTAGCATATACCCAAGCGCTATGTTTTTTTTTCTTCAATATTTTCAACCGAAATCTGCAAATCGAGCGTGGTTTTTATGTGATATCATGTTTCGAAATATTTTTTTTGCGTTTAAGCTATTGGATAAATGACCCTACCTATTAAGTCGCAAAAATTCTGTCTTAATCATAATGATTAACATTGATGCACATTTTAAATTACTTTTTCCAGTGTTCAACAGTAACTAACTATCTGTTTACGTAGTCCTAAGTATGTAAATATATTTATCGGTTTATTTTATACAATCACGATCCAGAAAATTCCCAGCTCAATTGCCGGAAATTTACAAAAATGAAAATTTAAAAAAAGATACATTAAATGTAGTTAAAACCGAAGATAGGCGCATGGTAAAAACAATCAAAGCAAATATGTTTACAAAATATTTATAGACTGTCCGGTAAAGTCACGGAAAAATGAATTGAAGACGTCTCTGTTTTTCCCAGTATGCATACAACTGTATTTTTTTCTGTTTAATCTTGTCTATTAAATAATTGCATAAAATTCTTATATGCTAATGAGGATTTACAAGTAATATAATTAGTGCATTTTCCGCTGACACCAGGGAGAGAATAGTGCACATCCATTGGCGGATCCAAGGGGGGGGGGGGGGGTCCGTGGGTAGGAACCCCGCTTTTCTAATTTTGTTCCGGGGATTGGAACCAATACCCACCTTTTCAAAATGGCTGGATCCCGCGCCTGACATCTTTTGGAACTGTGTATAGTGAAAATATCTTTGATAAAAAATTGTAGATTTAATTTACATAATGTTTGAAACTTCATTGTGAAGCTATCTCTATATACCATGATTAGCAAATACACACTTTGTCACTGTTTCTTTGTATTTATTCTCCAATTAAGAAATTTCGTAATCATGTTAGATCTGCAAACGTTTTTGTTTTTTAGTCATTCGACATACAGAATGTATCGTTTAATTCAAGCCAATACCAAAGCACTTATGGTGCCCTTCTTGACGAATAGTCCACAAGAAGCGATACCGACCCAATTGTAATGTAAAAAAATCAACAGCAGTGATACCGATCCAATTGTAATGTAAACATGGTAAATAGTTCACCAGAAGCGATTCCGACCTAGCTGTAATGTGAAAAAGATCACCAGAATCGATAATGACACAATTGTAATATTAAAAGTTCACCAGCAGCGATACCGACCAAATACTAATGTAAAAAGTTCCCCAGAAGCGATACCGACCCAGTTGTAATGTAAAAAAATCACCAGCAGCGATTATGACTCAAATGTAATATAAAAAGATCACCATCAGCAATATCGAACTAACAGTAATGTAAAAAGTTCACCAGCACCGAGACCGACCTAATAATAATGTACAAAATTCAAAATCAGCGATACCAACCCAATAGTAATGTAAAAAGTTCACAAGCGGCGATACCAACCAAATAGTAATGTAAATAGTTCACTAGCAGCGATACCGATCCAATTGTAATGTAAATAGTTCCCCAGAAGCAATACCGACCCCGTTGTAATGTAAAAAAAAAATTCACCAGAAGCGATAATGACCCAATTGTAATGTAAACAGTTCATTAGCTGCAATACCGACCAAATTGTAATGTTCAAAAGTTCACCAGCAGCGATACCGACCCAATAGTAATGTAAAAAGTTCACTAGTAGCGATATCGAATCGATAGTAATATAAACAGTTCCCCAGTCGCGATACCGAACCAGTTGTAGTGTAAAAAAAGTTCACCAGCACCGATACCGACATAATAATGTAAAACGTTCACCAGCAGCGATACAGAAATAATAGTAATGTAAAAAATTTACACCAGCAGCTATACCGAACCAATAGTAATGTTAAAAGTTTATCAGCAGCGAAACTGACCCAATTGTAATATTAATAAAAGACGCATGATACGATTACGGTGCGTACAACATATGCTCCTGTTATAACCTTAATCACGTACTCTCAAGATCAAAAGTTTCGAATGCGAAATATATACTTGTAATAAGTTTGAGAACATTAAAACCAAAAGACCTGAAGAGTTGCAATCTTATCTTTTATATCAACTACATTATTCTTATAAACTTATAGATACTGGTTATGTAGCACATAAATCAAGTCGAAACCGAAGCACTGGTTACTATGCGAATGGTTCTCTGGGATACTGATAGTTGACCAGCAGTATACTAACCTAGAAGGAAGTAAAAACGAACTACATGATTTCCGTGCGTAGATCACTTGTATTTGGATTTATTTTATCATCACCAGGTACACTCGAGACCAAAATTTTAGAAAGTTTGAAGTATATATAATTTAAATTTATGTCTATGAATAATTCTGAAAGATAACTTAGTGTTTTAATGTTATGTCGAATCTAATATTGGAAAAGGATTCCCTTGAATAAATCTGTTGTACGAGATACCGTGGTCGAATTTTTTTCACTATGTAACAAACTGAGAAATAGTGTGGGTGGACGTGTGTTGTTTCCAATCAAATCAGGGATTTGATGTCCTAGGTATTGATGTGTAAAAAGCCATCAAAGATACCAGGTTTATGATCAAGCATGCCCGATACGTGTTTCGTCCATATAAGACTCATGAGTGGCGCTCGAATCACAACAGTATGTAAATCAAATCATTAACTCACTTGTTAAAACATTATTTAATATATATTCCAATACACTTATATGGGTTTTTTTTGTGCTTTAGGTCTATCTAATTAGTCAAGCCTTTTTCAACTGGTTTTTACAGTTTGTTCTTATGTTGTGCTGTTACACCATTGTCTCAGTTTAGGGGGATTAGCGCTCGCAAACATGTTTTACCCGCCACTGTCAGTCTGTGCTTTTCCAAAGTAGTCTGTAAGTCATTGGTTGTATTTGATTGCTGTCTACAGTATTTGCTTTCCAACCCTTAATTTAACCTTTGTATATAGAAATATGGTCACCTGGAATTCCCCGTCCGGTAGAAAGACCCATGCTGATAGGCATCAACTTTGCTGTGCGGGGTTCAAATACCCATCCTCGTCTGTTCGAAACGGGTGCGTTAAATCCTAGCTTTTATTTTGTGTGTGTGTGTGTGTGTGTGTGTGTTTGTGCATCTTGCCGATCTGAGGAGTCGAGCCATTTACAACTTATGTTTACAATTTGTTCTAGTCTTGAGCTGTAACATCACTGTCCCAAGTTAGGAAGTTGACCGCTCACAAACCCGCGCGCCACATTCTTTATGTGCCTATTTAAATCAAATCCAAGATTATTCATTGTATTACATTAAATACCTCACCTTCATAAATTTAGATATCAGTCAACTCGCTGCATTGTTCAACCGGAAACCAGCCAGAAAACAGAACTATACCCCTGTGACAACCTCTCCCACCTGACGCAAACGCGCCATAACCCTTCATCTTTTTTCCGGTTCCATGGTTCATGCTGCACGCTTTTGAGAAGGAAAACGTTTTTTGCTTAACCACGTTGTTTCTTAATAGAAAAATTATAGTTATATTATTTTGTAATATCATTTTGTATTATTTATTTGTTTTATTCGGATAATTTATCTGTATAATGGCTGATAAAACACCAACTTTGTCAACGCAAGAGGTAAGTGACACACACACACACACAAGTGCCAGTGGTTTGTTGTCCCCTTGGCGTTCGGCCACTCATTCGGATGAGTTTTGGGATAGAAGTATGGAGTTTATCCCTGGTGTGTCTGGTGTAAGTCTGGCACTTCTGGTGCTAGTCAGTTGAGGTTATCTAGGCCTAGCAGGGTATCACATACCGTAACTAGGCCTGCTGAGATACCAATCTCTCCTGTTTCTTGCACGACAAGTATCCAGGAGACGCTACCAGCTGGCATCAGGAGTGACCCCTCTTCCAGGACTAGGTGGCCTATGAATTTTGCTGTTAACGCAAAATTCATTGAGTTTGGTAACAGAATTACCCTTATGAAGTCTAGGGGTCTGTCTCAGGATCCTCCACAGGACCCTTCCAGACCTTCTAGACATCTGGTGGAAGATGATTCTGTTTCCTTGGCTTCCAGAAGCCAAGAAGGTAACTTTCTTGAAGACCAAGGTGCTTCTTCTGATAATGACAGTGTTGGGAGCACAGAGGGAGATGCTATGATTTCGAAGGAGCCTTCTTCAGGCAACCCCTCTGAATGTCTTAGGAGTCTAGTTTATTCTATTCGTAGGGATATGTCGGATATACCCTAGTCTTCTCCACCAAGGGTTTCGTCTGCCCCTTCAGATTTTATGGCTTGCTCTGGTTTAGTCAAACCAAATTTGAAGGGGTATCATTCTTTTCCAGAGTCGGGTCATTTCACAACAGCTTTGTCTTTGTTAACTCGTCTTTGGTTGAGAACCATGCTTACACTAGCAAAACTGGTGGTAATAAGTTCTCTGGTTTCGGACCTGCCTCTTACCCAGGGAGATGTAGATCTAAGGACTTTGATATTCGTGGATCTTCCTTTGGAATGTCGGCTCCTACTGTGATAAGGCTTATTCTGGTTTACTGGGTTTGAAACCTGTGGACGGTCTCAGACTTTCTCAAGCTTCATATGTCAAGTCGGAGAATAATCTGAGGTGTCTTACTTTTGTTCTTGAGACAGCTG